GGCAGAGGCATAATATTGTATGTAGCTCAGCTTGATGAGAGCCTGTAAAATGACTCCTTGAAAAGAAAGAATAAGAGCTATTGCATTTCAAAGTTAAAATATTCTAGATAAGAGTACCTTCCCATTTAATTTATTATAAAAATTATATTTGTAATAAGAAGTAATACTTGCTTTACATGGATCTATTAACCAGCGCTTTTTTTTTTTTTTGGTAACTCATTTTGTTCAGATTGTGAATATAACAATTACTGCTTTTGGTTTTAATCACCTCTTGTTCAGTGGTATATTATCATCAGATAGCAATATTTATGGATAATGAAGTATTTACTTAAGAGTTTGCAGCTATCTGATGTTGTAACATTTAATGAATTTTTACTGTGTACTGTACATTGATTTAAGAACTAGGCAAGTGTTTACTTCTTACAACAGTCTTAAAATATTTTTTTAGAGTTTTTTTAAAAATCTTTTTTAGTTGTAGATGGACACAATACTTTTTTTTATTGATTTATTGTTATGTGGTGCTGAGGATCGAACCCAGTGCTTCCATGTGCTAGGCAGGCACTCTACTAATGAGCCACAACCCCAGCCCTTAAAATACTTTTTTAATTACCATTTTTCTAATGAGGAAGAGGAAGTCAATAAAAGCTAAGCAATTTGCTCAAGATTACTCAGTAAATAAACTTTTGAAATTGATATAGGCACTCATTTCTGTTAGGTTTATACAAGAGAGTAGAATTGTTGTGTCATAGGTTATATGTATGTTTGGCTTTGATAGGTACTACCACAGGCTATGTATTTTTCTAAATTTATTTTGTACTCTGATAACCTATGATCTACCAGAACACTCTCATTTCTGCTAATATTGTTTTGTGAACATTTGTGGAGGGCATTTCATTAGACAGGTAAGTAGAATTCAGATTTTTATATCAATTTGTTAAGTAGTACCATATAGAAAACTTGTTTTTTATTTATTAGTTTATTAATACCAGGTTTCTATTTTGTATAATCCCTTGGTCCCTTTTCTGTACTAATCTCTCTCTGATTTTCATGGGATTTCCCCCCCTCTTCCTGTTTCTTCTCTAGTTTCCATGTGAGAGAAAACATATGACCCTTGACCATCTGAGTTTGACTTATTTAATAATTAGACATAATGATATCTAGTTCCATCCATTTTACTGCAAATGACATAATTTCATTTTTCTTTTATGACTGAATAAAACTCCATTGGGTATATATACCACATTTTCTTTATCCATTCATCCATTGATGGACACCTACACTGATTCCATAGTTTGGCTATTGTGAATTGCAATGATATAAACATGGGTATGCATGTATCATTGTAGTATGATGGCTTTAATTCTTTAGGATGAATATTGAGGAGTGATACAGCTGGCTCATGGTTTCATCTCTAGTCCTTGGGGAAACCTTCATACTGATTTCCATAGTGGCTGTACTAATTTATAATCCCACCAACAGTGTAAAAGTGTTCCTTTATTTTCCACATCCTTGTCAGCATTTATTATTATTTGTATTCTTGATGATTACCATTCTGACTGGTGTAAGATGTAATCTCAGTGTTATTTGCATTTTCCTAATTGTTATGATATTGAACGCATTTTCATGTATTGACCATTTTATTTTTTTATTGAGAAGCATCTATTTAGTTCATTTGCCCATTTATTAATTGGGTTATTTGATTTTATTGGTGCAAAAGTTTTTTGAGTTCTTTACATATTCTAGATGTTAATCTTCTATCAGAAGAGTAGCTAACAAAGATTTTCTCCCATTCTGTAGGTTCTCTCTTCATATTCCTAATTGTTTCCTTTGCTGTGCAGAAGGTTTTGAATTTGATGCCATCCCATTTATTAACCTTTAGCATTATTTCCTGAACTTTAGAGGTCCTATTGAGAAAGTTGTTGCCTGTTCCTAGATATTGAAGTGTTGACCCTGTGTTTTCTTCTAGGAGTTGCATAGTTTCTGTTCTAATTCCTAGATCTTTTCATCCATTTTGAGTTAATTTTTGTGCAGGGTTAGAGTATAATTCTTCTACATAGGGATAACCAGTTTTCCCAGCACCATTTGTTTAAAAGATCTTATGTTTAAAAATACTCCTATGTATGGCACTTTTGTCAAGGATCAGATAACTGTTTCTATGTAGTTTTGTCCCTGTGTCTTCTATTGTACCATTGGTCTCTGCGTTTGTTTTTATGTCAGTACCATGCATGTTACTGTAGCTCTGTAGTATATTTCAAAGTCAGGTATTGTGATGCCTTCTGCACTGTTTTTTGTTTGTTTGTTTGGTTGGTTGGTTTTTTATTTTTGGCTTAGAATTGCTTTGGCTATTCTGGGTCCTTTATTCTTCCAATTGAGTTTTAAGACTGTTTTTCTAGTTCAGTGAAGAATGTCATTGGTATTTTGATGGGGATTACATTGAATATGTATATTCTTTTTGGTAGTATGGCCACTTAATAGTATTATTTCTGCCTGTCCATGAGTGTTTTCTGAGTTCTTCAATTTCTTTCTTTCTTTTTTTAAAAAATATTTTTAGTTGTAGATGTACACAATACCTTTATTTTTATATGGTGCTGAGGATTGAACCTAGTACCTCACATGTGCAAGGCAAGCGCTATACCACTGAGCTACAGCCCCAGCCCCTTTTTCAATTTCTTTCTTCAGTTTTCTGTAGTTTTTTTGTAGAGGTCTTTTACTTCCTCGTTTAGATTTATTCCTAGGTATTTTATTTTCTTTGAGGCTATTGTGAATGGAATTGTCTTCCTGATATCTTTCTCAGATTTATTGTTGATGTATAGAAAACTAATTGATTTTTGTGTGTTGATTTTGTAACCTGCTACTTTGCCAAATTTATTAGCTTAACAGTCTTTTAGTGGAGGTTTTTGGACCTTCTAAGTATAGGATCACATTACAAACAGTGATAATTTTACTTTTCTTTCCTATTTTTATCCCTTTTATTTCTTTCTCTTGCCTAATTACTGTCGCTTGAATTTCTAGCACTATATTAAATAGGAGTGGTTAAGAGTAGATATCCTTGTCTTGTCCCAGATCTTGAAGGAAATACTTTCAGTTTTTCCCTATTTACTATGAATTTGGCTTTGTTTTTTTCATATATAGCCTTTATAATGTTGAGGTAGGTTCTTTCTATCTCTTTTCTTCAGTGTTTTTATTATAATGGATGCTAAATTTTGTCGAAGGCATTATCTGCATCTATTGAGATGACTGTGATTTTTGTCTTTCTATTTATGTGTTAAATTACATTTATTGATTTACATATATTAGACCATCCTTGCATATCTGGAACAAAACCAACTTTGGACCTGGTATACATTCTTCTCATGTTATTTTATTAAGAATTTTTTATCTAAGTCTTCAGGGATATTGGGTTGTTGTTTTATTTCTTTGATGTGTCCTTATCTGGTTTTGTTATGAGTGTGATACTGGCTTCCTAGAATGTATTTTTGGTAGTGTTTTATCTTATGGAATAATTTGAGGAGTATTGACATTAGTTCTTCTTTAAAGGTTTGTTTGGTAGAATTCATCTGAGAATCCATCTGGTCCTAGGGTTTTCTTTGTTGGAAGCTTTTTATTATTGCTTCTATCTCAATACAGGTTATTGGACTGTTTAGGTTTTCCATTTATTTCCTCTTGATTCAGTTTTGTAGTTCATATTTGTCTAGAAATGTATCCATTTCTTCTAAGTTTTCCTATTTAATGAAGTGTAAGTTTTCAAAATTGTCTCTAATGATCCTCTGTATTTCTGTGATGCCTTTTAAAAAAAATATCTAATTATATTAAAATGGATTTTCTCTTTTTTTTCAATTAATTTTAAGGGCTTATAAATCTCATTTTTTTCCCCAGAACCAATTCTTCCCTTTCATTGATCCTTTGAATTTTTTTTTCATTCTCAATTTCATTGATATCAGCTCCGATCTTTATTATTTTCTTCTTTTTAATGGTTTGGAATTAGTTTGTTCTTTTTCAAGGGCCTTGAGAATGCATCATTAGGTTGTTTATTTGGGATCTTTCTGATTTTCTTATGTAAGTACTTACTCATAGCTATAAATTTTCGTCTTGGAACTCCCTTCATCGTGTCCTAGAGGTTCTGATATGTTGTATCACTATTCTTGTTTGAGTCTAAGAATTTTTAAATTTCTCCCCTGATTTCGTCTATCACCCATTCATCATTGAAAAATGTATTGCTCAGGATGCTGCAGTTGTGACTCAGTGTGAGCACTTACCTAGCATGTGTGAGGCACTGAGTTTGATCCTCAGCACCACATTTAAAAATAAATAAATAAAATAAAGATATTTAAAAAGGGGTTGGAGATATGGCTCAGTGATTAAGTGTCCCTAGTACCAAAAAAGAAAAAAAAAAAGAAAATTTTAAAAAAAAGTATATTGTTCAATTTCCATGTTTTCAATCTCCATGTGTTTATATAACTTCTATAGGGTCTTATCATGTTGGTTTCTAATTTCATTCCATTTTGATCTGATAAGATACAAGGAATTAGCATCTTTTTTTTTTTTTGCATTTGCTAAGTGTTGTTTTTGGCGTATAAGTTCACTCTTACTAATTGATCTCAAAACTCCTAAGTTTTTAATTGTTAAAGCATCAGGATTATTATATTCTGTCTTTTTTATTCCCTTTTCCCCTGAGAATATAAACTGGACTAGGAACTAAGTGAAGGATTTTAGAATACAATACCCTTAAGACAGATATTATAATCGAAGGAGAGGTTTTACAAAGAGCATTTAGTGGGGACTATTAAAGAATTAGCATAAATTTTTGACAGGAAAAAGCTTAATTCACCACTTTCAAAAATAATTCAGGTGTTTTTCTTTAGGGAATAATAGTGCTAAAGCCCTTCTGTAAAATAAGTGATGAATTGAACTACTTTTGAAAGTCCTTTTTTCCCCTAAGATGTTATGGTAAATGTTTTTGAGGAATCATATTACGAGAACTTTTTTCCTTTTTCCATTAGTATCTTCAGATAATAAAAAGCAGATACTTAATGAAGCTTCTGCTGGAAGTGAAAGAGACACATCAAGCATAGCACAAGATTGGTCATTACAAGATCATTATAGAATGTATTCACCAATAATATACCAAGCCCTCTGTGAGCATGTGCAGACTCAGATGTCAATGATGAGTAACTTGGCTTCGAAGAATTGTTCTAATGGAATTCCTGCTACACCTTGCCATACTGAGTCTGGTTCTGGTTAGTATGAATGATGTTTTTTAAATTTTGGATGTAACCTGTGATTAAATTGTTTCATCATTATATAAGCAATGTGATATGTGAATGACTTTTCCCTTCTCTTACTTTTTAGAATATCAGGCAACATCACGTTCTAGTTATGGCTGTTCTACCTCTACCCCAGCCTGGTCACCTCAGCGGCTGCCCTGCCCTCCAGTGGTTCATTCTGTATGTACAGTTTTTATATTACACAAGTGTTAGTTTGCTTATAGAAATTGGCATCTTAGGAGTGAATATTGAATTTTATTAACTCTTAATGTGCTAGTATGTAAAAAACAATTATTTTTTCAAGTTATTTTTTTATTAAAAAAGTTTGACCTCTTTTTTTAGAACAATAGCGAGAATGAGGGGAAGAAATCAGTAGATAAAAGAAATCAACCATACCCATCAACCAAGCACAGCTGCACTCTGATATAGTACTTTCGAGTCATTTAATTATCTCTGTAGGTTTTGTTTTCTGTTTATTTGTTAAGCTTGCTTTCTTTTTAAAATAAGAGTTATAATTAAATTTATAGCTTTAAATATGCTTTTCATTTATTATAAGCATGTTTATATCTTTTCTGAATAAGTAGTTAATACTGTATTTTGTGGATATACTATAGTCCAACTACATATGTATTTAAGTAATAGCCAATTTTTTTCTGTAATATTTCTGTGAGTATATTTATGCAAAGGTTTTTTGTATGTTTGAGCTTCTTTTCTTTTTCTTTTTAAATTTTTTTTCTTTTAGTTATAGATGGGCACAACACCTTCTTTTTATTTTTATGTGGTGCCAGGGATCGAACCCAGTACCTCACACATGCTAGGCAAGCGCTCTACCACTGAACCACAACCCTGGCCCCTTGAGCTTATTTTCTTACAATGCAATTTCCCAATTTGCAAATGTTTGTTTTGATCCAAAAGTGGACAAATTTTTGCTACCTCTAAATTATGTAAACAATCTATTTTAGTCATAACCTTATAATGTTCCCATATTGCAAACTAGAATCTTTATTGTAAACTGGAGAAATCCAGCTTGCTTTTAAGCTGAAAATAACAGAAAGTTAGTTTCTAATATTTGAAAGCTATTTTCTAATATTTTTCATTTGAGTTTGTTATAATTAATGCCTCCACGAAGTGAATGCTCACAGTTTTGATGGTTTTTTTTTTTTTTTCCCCTTGCTTCAGGAAGTTCAAACTGATGATGATAACCAGTCGGCATCACAAAGTAAAATAATCTCTGTGAACCATTCTGATGGCCCAAGGAATTCATTTAATATCAGTCCTGGAGTTCCATGTGGCTTGCCCCAAACTGACAAAGCGGCTATTCCAACATTTCAGCAGCCAAGTCTTGCTAATTGGATTCTGACACAACAAGGAGTTCCTAAGGAAGCAGACCTACTAAAGTGTTTTCAAACACATATGTCTCTGTTTCAATCTCATGAAAAGGAAACTCTTCCGGACAGTCAGACACACCGAAGCTCCACTCAATCACAGCTAGCTTTCTTGGCCACTAATGAAGAAAGATGTGCCAGAGAACAAATTGGAGAGGCCACAAATGAAGGAAAGTATTTAAACATACATGTGCAAGATACAAAAACAGTCAAGGATGTACAGAAGGCAAAAAATGTAAACCAGACTGCTGACAAAGTTAGAACTATAAAATATTTGTTGAGAGAACTCAAGGCTCTGGTAGCAGAACAAGGTAGATGAGTACTTTCTTCATACTACATACTTACTACCATTCCTATTTTGTATAGTATGATATTATGCTAAATAGCTGTGTCATATTGTCTAGCTATGATTCAAATTTAGAATAATTTCCCTGAAGTTTGTGGTGTTTTTCATGGAACTATGTCTTGAACTAATAAGGAAATTTCTGTGGTATTCTTATTTTTTTAGGTTTTGATCTCTTCTTTCCTATGAATTTGAAACATGTTGAGAAATAGTAAGCATTCAAAGTTTTGCTTGCAAGTGTGTATTCATTCCATTTGATCCAAATGGATCCTGAAAAGATTCAGTTAAAGAGAATTTGAAGAGATAAAATTAGAGTGGTTAGAAGACCCCTTAAAATGATTAACTCAATGGAGTGGATTGCTTAATTTTCTTATTTAAAAAAGACACAGATTTCCTTCCCATTATTTCTTTAATAACTATTATATTGTTCATCAAATTGCACTTTGAGAAGTAACCCAAACCTCTTTTCAGTTTGGTTTTAGGATTTTTCTCTTAAAAATAATGTCTTTGAGCCAGGGTGTATTTAATTTGAGAGAGAGATATATATATATATATAACCCCTCCCCCCCCAAAGTAAGGCTTTGCTTTGAATGAGTTACAAATTTGTCATCATGAAAAACATGGTAATTGATTATGGAAGTAATGACTGAATATATAATATTTGCAGACAGACATACTCATAATCATAAAATACTGCAGGAACAGCCACATATTTAGCAAATTAAAATTGCTGTGTTTTCATCAAATTATTACCCTTCTCCTAACCAAATACTTAATCATAATAATGATAGTAATCACTATCACTCTTTTACACTTACTCTGTGCCTTGGCTATATTTTTCATGAATCACTTCATTTAATCTTCACAGCAACCCTGTGAAGTTCCATTATTTCCCCATTTTACAGATGAGTATATTGAGGCTTGGAGAACAGCATCTCATTTAATCTTCTGAACTACCCAGTGAGGTATTGTTATTACTTCCATTTAACCATGAAGATACCCAGGCTTCAAGAGTTAGTAATTTAGATGCTGGTCAAAGGATACAAAATTTCAGATAGGAGGAATAAGTTCAAGAGATCTATTGTACAACATGGTGAATATAATTAATAAAAATGTATTGCATTCTTTAATATTGCCAAGAGAATTCTAGTGTTCTCATTTCAAAAAATAAGTATATGAAGTAAAGCTACCCATTCCACAATGTATACATATTTTAAAACATGTTGTATGTGATAAATATATGCTTATTGGTCAATTTAAATGCGTTAATCTTTTTAAAAGATTAATTTAGTTTTTAAAAAAGAGTCAAGTGATTTGACTAAGGCTATAATCTAGGAAGGGATAAGGCCCCAGTCTGTCCCTTGAAAATTCATAAGCAAACACAGTCAGTCTATAGTGACTATAGAAGATGGCTCAGTGATTGGATATAGTTGTTTACTATGTACATGTATTTTTCATTAGGATGTTAAAATGCTTGTGGAATTGAATAAGTTTTTGTAATTTGAATATACTTTTCAACCTATTGAATGTTTTGAAATTGGTTAATAGATAATTTTAAATATTCCCAGTCCACAGAAAATTTGAGAATTAAGAATCAAAAATAAAAAGGACAAAAGAGCTAATGTACCTGTATCTGTTTGCTACTTCTTAAAATATTGACTATGCACAATTAATAACCAAAATGTTAAAATTGTGGCTGGCTGTATTAAATCTATTTTATAAAATCAAATAATGAAACTTAGCAAGCCATCCCTCAGTATTTGCAAAATGAGTCACCTAAAGTAAATTAATTTTTATAACAGGATCAGTTAATTTTTATAACATGAATTTTTTCATGTTTGTACTGTATTCAATTTTAGGAAACCCTATAGCACTCCAGAAGTCCACTATAGACTTTGATAAGTGTGAATTAGGAGATAATGTGTAAACTACTGTCCTCTTTGGCTCAAATGAAAAAATATAAGCTATTGATTTAAGATTAACCTTTAATTTACTAGATTTAATTTCTTTAGAATTTTTCTAAGTAAGTAGGAAAGAGGAAAATGGGATTTGTATATAAATTCATAAATAATTGAATTAAAATGTATTTATAGCCAAGTATGAACATACCTATAAAGATTTTCTTTTATAGTTATATGTACCAAAGGGCTTGTCCAAAATCAGTTTAAAATATTGATTTTACTCATTTCTTTTATAGAGGATTCAGAAATTCAGAGATTGATAACAGAAGTAGAAGCATGTATATGTGGGCTTCCAGCAGTAAGTGGAAACAGAAATATTCAAGTTGAAATAGCACTGGCTATGCAACCATTGAGAAGTGAAAATGCTCAGTTACGAAGGTAATTGCTCTTCGAATATTTTTGTGTGTAAGTAAAGGTGTCCCATAGTTAGAATGAAGGTGCCCAATGGAAAAAACTAGGACTTCATAAGAAAAATTGATTTGCTGTCTTAACTGTATTCCACTTTTTTCCAAAGATTTCTAGGATTTTCTAACTAACTTTTCCATTACTTCTGCCTACTAATACCTATTTTCTTCCACCTTTTTTAAACCTCTGTCACCTGGTTTAGTGTATAGACAAGATAATTATTCTACTGTAACATATGTCTAAATCTCAGAGGCATAGTACAGAAATGTTTAGTTCTCCCTCACTGCAAGACATCGTGGGTCACTGGAGATCTTTTTCATCTTTTGACTCAGGATCTATGTTCTTTTTACCTCATGAAACCACAGTGTCAGTGTGTGTTTTCTAGGAAAAAGAGAATATGGATATAGCCATGGGGCATTCTTATATGCTATGGACCACTTAATGTTTTGTAGGCTAAAACAAGGTACATGGTTCTTCCTAACATAATGTTCCAGGTACATAATTTTTCCAGACTTCCATATTCCTAGAAAGGAAGGTAGAACCTGATATGAGTAAGTATGTAACCCTATCACATTTAAACATAGGGGGAAAAATTCATTTAAATTCTTGGATTTATTTTTATTTTTGGCCATCTTAACATTTTGGAATAATTGTTTAAGAAAGATGTAAATCAGGGATCTTATCTCAAAATGTAGAAGAAATCACCCATATATTAATAATATCCTAACTTTGAATCTTTTGGTAATGACCATCAGGGCCAATACTCCAGTATCTATTAATGTACTTCACAGAGAATTAGAGTACATTTACTTCCAGGTGCTTCTGCAACACTACAATGTGAATGTGTTCTGAGTGTTACAGTTGCAGGAGCTTTAATCATTGTATAAGATGGGATTTTAGGGCCCTGCACAGATTTTTTTAAGAAACTGGAAAGCAAAAAAAATAGGATTTTGGGTTGGAGAGTAGCTTAATTTTATTTATTGGATACTAAACAGGCACGATACCTAGTGAGATTTACTTTCTTAGTGTTATTTTTCTAGAAATCTTGTGTGTGTGTATGTAAAATATCTGATAGACTCGCCAAGTTTAAATTCTGTCATCAGTCCTGACATAAGGGATTCTATAACAATGTTAATTTTTCAAAACCAAGACTTAATAATAATGGTAATGAACAACATCTACATTTAGGTCAGGCTATTGTCTTTTTAAAAATATTTTTTTACTTTTAGTTATACATGGACACAATATTTTTATGTGGTGCTGAGGGTCGAACTCATGCCTCACAAGTAGGAGGCAAGCGCTCTGCCAATGAACCACAACCGCAGCCTGAGGCTATTGTCCTTTATATGTGTCATCTCTAAATCTTCACAGTGTTCTATGAGTAGATATTGCTATTCTCATTTATACATGGGGAAATCAAAGCAAACGGTATGTAATTTGCTCAAGATCACATAGCCAAGAAATGTTGAATTCTTGTTGGAATCAAGACTCAAATCCAAGGCAATTAGGTTTTAGAGAGAAAAATTCTAACTTATTGACTTATATATTGCCTCCACTAGGAAATAGAGATTCATTTACCTATCACTATTTAGATGTATTATTTGAAACGAAAGAGTCATACTATAAGCCAGTCAAAATAAACATGCATATTATTTAAAGCAATGATTATCAAAGGATTGTTTTCCTAAGCATACTGTAAGTTAATCTCAGAATATTATGTATTTTAACACTGTCACCATGGAAATATCAGTGATTCTTATTTATTTTTGTTCCTTAGAGCACTTTATAAATCTACTATTTTGCTAATTTATAAGCTACTCAAGGAAATGAGGCTTCTTATTTTATTGGCTGCCAATTATTTTTAATTTTTAAAAAAAGATATTAAGCTAATTGATGACTAATCTAATTCTTTAGACTTGGTACTAGAGCTTTTTAGGCCTTCTTTCTTTAAAGGGCAATAACTATATAGAAAGTTCTTGACACTGTTGTTCACTTGACCTTTTCAAAGATAAAATTACTGAAAAATGAAGAATTGGTCAGATATGTAATTTGCTCCTTTTAGCAGATATGCTCCTTTTAGCAGAATGAGGTTTCAAGTAGCAATGTAGGGATTTTTGTGCTGCTTCATAATCTTTATTTGGAATCATTCATAATTACAAATAAAACTAGAATGTATAAGCTCATTCAGAAATGATTTTCAATCAAAAAAATTTTTTATGTTTAGACATTTGGGAAACAACATGTTTTTTTGTAGACCGAAGTGACTCCCCCATCCCCAACCCCCAGAACTTTCTCAAAGTTTATTGACATCTTGTGGTTAAAAAAAAAAAAAAAAAGCGTTGTTTCTATGGAATCTTGGCATTTTTTGCATTTTGAATTGGACAGTTTTTATGTGAGACATGGAACAGTTGTCCAATTTTTAGCTTTCCTGGTCCCCACCCATAAAATGTCTGTAGAGCCCCTTTTATTTTGATCACTAAAACCCTGGCACATTCCCAAATATCTTGGGTGGGAGCTGGAGGTAGGATACTTATTATTAAGTACTGTCACACTAGGAAATGCCTTAATATTTATAAGCCAACTTAGATTTTAAGACCATTTCCTGAATGTAAACTCAAATAGAAGACCACCAGTAGGCTCACACAGAACAAAAAAATGATAGGTGGCATTAAGATTTTCTTGTCTTTATAATTTGACAGATGGTAACATAATTCCTCCAGATGGGCACTAGTAGAAGAAGAATAGATTTGTTTAATTTTTTTTAAATTTCACTTTATTTTTTTATTTAGAAGAGGTAATGGGAGAGCCCATGAGTTAAGATTTAGACTATACTAAATGTGTCATTTAGACCATCTGGAGATATGTGTAAGTCTGGAGCACAGTAACAAGATCTAGAATTGAAATGTAGACTTAGAAGTAATTCACTGAACACATTTTTATTGAGCTTTTACTATGGATCTAGCACTTTTATAGATACTGGAGACAACTGTAATAATAGCATGTAATTTGCTATCAGCATATAAATGGTAAATTCACCAAAAAGATATAGAATGACAACACAGCAAAGAATGAATTGCTGGGTGATAATAGCTTAGACTGGAAGAACAGAGCAAGAGAAACCTGTGAAAGAGGCCTGAGAGGGAGCAACAAGGGAAATAGTGGGAAAGCTAAGAGAGTAATGTCATAAAAGCCAGGAAAAGATAAAAAATTATAGGAGAGATCTGTATACAACATTCAAAATAAACTACTAGAATAAATGATAAAAGAAAACCTTAGTTACCTTGAGTTGGGAAAGATTTTTTAAAACAGAGAAAGGAAAAAGTACATACATTTGACTTCACTAAAATTAAAACTTTTGCTCTTCAAAAGGTACTAAAAACGAAGAGGTAAGCAACAAATTGAGAGAAAGTATTTGTAAAACACTTAACAAAGAACTTGAATCTAGAAGTATAAGAACTATCAGAACTCGATAATAAAACTATCAGTTTTTAAATATCTGGTTTAAAAATGGGTAAAATATTTGAACAGACTCTACACCAAAGAAGATATATGAATATCAAATAAGAACATGAAAAGATGCAGGAGGATCGAGAGTTCAAAGCCAGCCTCAGCAACGGCAAAGCACTAAGCAACTCAGTGAGACCCTATCTCTAAATAAAATACAAAATAGAGCTAGAGATGTGGGTTAAGTGATTGAGTGCCCCTGAGTTCAATCCCTGCTACCTGCCCTCCTCTCAAAAAAAGATGATTATCATCATTAATCACTAGGAAAATGCAAATTAAAACCATGATGAGATACCAGGCACACCCATTGGGATGACAAAAATTCAGAACATCATACCAGGTGTTCGTGAGCTTGTAGAAGAACTGGAACTTTCACTGTGTATGTAGGAAAGTAAATGGTATTTTTTTTCCAACTACTTTGGAAAACAATTTGGCAGTTTCTTGGAAATTAAAATATACCTACGTTTGATCCAACAACTCCATCCCTAAATGTTTCTCTCAAGACAAGTGAAAGTTATCCTTACAAATTTGTTCATGAATATTCAGAGGAAACAACCCCAGTGTCTATCAACAGGTGAATGGATAAACAGATGGTGGTATGTCCATACAATAGAATACTACTCAACAGTAAAAAGGAAGGAATTGTTGATACATGGAACAGAATGGTTGAATCTCAAAATCATCATGCTGAGTAAATAAGCCAGGTATAAGAATATACACTGTATGTTGATTCCATTTATATGAAATTCTGGAAAATGCAAAATTAATCTATAAATCTTGTCTAGAAAGGGGAGGTTATGAAAAAGGACATGAGAAAACTTGAGGGTGGTGAATATTTAAATTGTGATGGTTTCATCACATATGTCAAAATGCATAAAATTTTATACTCTGGCAGTTTATCAGAGGTCAGTTTTATATCAATAAACCTATGTAAAAATGAGTAAATTGAAAAAATTTGCCTAAATATCAGCAGTTTTTCTTTTTCTTTGTTAAAATCAAGTGTATTTAATTTAACACATAATATTTTGCAATAGCATGTGTAATACCCATTTTTAGAAGATTATTTTGGGTTATTTTTTCATATATCACTTTTTATAGAAAAATTACTTTTTAAAAGTCTAACCCTGAAAGCAGGGAAGAAGAGAGTAGCTGGTGATGTGGCTGTTAAGCTGGCTGAAGTGTTTTCACCTCCAGTGTAGAAGGAGTTGCATTGTGCTTGCATCTCAAGCATAGCAATGGGCCAAGTGGGAGAAGCTGCAGACACAGAACTAAAGGGAAGAGGATAGAAACAGGGTCCTTGAGAGTATAAAAGGAGATGGCATTTTGGGTGCAGGTGAGACTTCTCTTCATCTGAGACCAGAGGAAGAACTGAGGGTTAATATGCATGCAGATAAAGTCAGTCTCAAACCATATTATTTTTAGTGAAAATAGGAAAGTATCCTGTTGAGAGAAGGAGGGTAAGAATGAAAGGCTTGTAATGAATGACAAATTGACTGTGTTTGGGAAAAGAAGAATATGACCAGGTACATACAAAAAGATTGTCAACAAAGCTTCTCTTATACACTTGGTGTGTAAGAGGGCCTTGGCACTTGCTGATTTTCTGAAAGATACTGAAAGGAGCATTCTGTATGTTCTGGGTCACCAGTCTATGTTGCCTTTTCTAGTTCTATACTCTTTGTTATAAAGGGAAAATCTTTTTAGAAAATCAGAATTCTGTTGTTTTACACTTTGTAGTTTTTCACTTTATCATTAGTGTGTTTGGGATATCTTTCCATATCAGTGTATATGGATATCTTCTTATTCTTAATGCCTGTGCATTAATATTTCACTCTATGTATATACCATAATTATGTACATTGTGTTTCCAACTTGTCATTATTAAATAATGCATATTTCTTTATATATACGAGATTTTAGATGCTTTTGCCCATGTATAGCTATTTCTGAGGACAGATAACCTAGAAGTAGAATTATTTTGTCAAAGATTATGAACATTTTACATTTTGTTGAATATTGCCAAATTGTTATCTAAAGTGACTCTCGTCATTTAAGATAATTAATTTCCCTATACTGTCACCAACAAAGTGTTATTTCTTTTTATTTATATCAATCCTATGATCAAAAAATATTTCCTTGTTTTAAATTTGCAGATTGAGCAATTTTCAAGTATTTATAGACCATTTCTATTTATTATGTGAATGGCCTATTCTGTCCTTTGTTACATTTTACTAGGTTGACTTCTATATTTGTAGAAGCTTTTTAAATGTTGTGTACCCTTTCCCCATCATATATATGGTAGGAATTTTTTTCCAAGCCTTCAATTCTAGAATAAGCTTAAAATTTTGATGTACTTAAATCCTGTATTCTTTTCCTTGATGGTTGCTGGATTTTGAGTCTTGCTAAGGAATGCTTTTCTCACTTAAAGATTATTTAGATTTCTCTCCTAAAACTCCATTGTTGGGCTTTGTTGTTTGTATATTTTGTATTTAATACACATGAGTGATAATGAGGTAAGGGTACTATCATTTTAGATTCAATAACAAAAATAAATATTTTAATTCAGATATTTTCAAGGTAAGTAATTCTAGAAAGATGCTAGAGATAACTTTTTTTTTTTTTTAAGCAGTGCCTTCTTAGAAGTAAACACTTTTTTTGTATGTTCCTATTGGTGAAAAGTTACATGTTGTGAAGTTCATTTTGGGCAAGGTTGCTACTTGTTCACATTCTCATTAAATAGACATTAACTTTTCCATCTAATAAGGAAATTACTAGAAGCATATATTTCTGTTTCCCAATTTTGTCAGTGTGTGACAAACATCAAGCAGAAAGTTATCTATTAGTAGTCAGTGGTCTGCAGGTATCTAGTTCATAGTGACTGATCTTTTAAAAAGTAGATGATTGACTACAGTAATGAAGATGCAGAGAAGGAAAGCAGAAAAAGAAAATAGCAATAAGGGATATAAGGGAAAAAAATATAACAACAACAAAAAAGAAAAGAAAGAGACAGTAGAAAATGGGGTGGGGGAGAAAGAAAGAAAAATTTTACATAATATTTTGCAATAGCATGTGTTAACACCCATTTTTAGAAGATTATCTTGGGTTATTTTTTCATATATCACTTTTTATAGAATAATTACTTTTTAAAAGTCTAACCCTGAAAGCAGGGAAGAAGAGAGTAGCTGGTGATATGGCAGTTAAGCTGGCTGGAATTATCCCAGGCTCCTGGCAGTAGGATATTGTTGTTGTTATTTTGCTCAGTATTTGTCTTTTGTTTTGGAGGTGAGATGAACTTCCACTATTCTTTTTTTATTTTTCTGCTTAGCTTTTCTATTTTTTTTATTTATATATGACAGTAGAATGCATTAGAATTCTTATAAAACATAAAAAGCACAATTTTTCATATCTCTGGTTGTATACAAAGTATATTCACATCAATTCATGTCTTCATACATGTACTTTGGATAATAATAATCATCACATTCCACCATCATTTATAACCCCGTGCCCCCTCCCTTCCCCTCCAACCCTCTGCCCTATCTAGAGTTTGTGTATTCCTCCCATGCTCCTGCTCCCTATCCCACTATGGAAACCCATATGCAACAAAATGAAATTAAACCCCTATCTCTCACATGCATAAAACTCAACTCAAAATGGGTCAAGGACTTAGGAATAAAACCAGAGACCCTGCATCTAATAGAAGAAAAAGTAGGCCCTAATCTCCATCATGTGGGATGAGGCCCCAACTTCCTTAATAAGACTCCTGTGGCATAAGAATTAAAATCAAGAACCAATAAGTGGGATTGGGGGCTGGAGTTGTATCTCAGTGGTAGAACGCTTGCCTTGTATGCGTGAGGCGCTGGGTTCAATTCCCAGCACTACATATAAATAAGGAAATAAGATAAAGGTCCATCAACAACTAAAAATAAAAAATAAAAAGTAAAACAAATGGAATGGACTCAAACTAAAAGTTTCTTCTCAGCAAAAGAAACAATCTGTGAGGTGAATAGAGAGCCTTCATCTTGGGAGCAAATCTTTATTCCTCACACATCAGATAGAACACTAATCTCAAAAAGCTAAGCACCAAAAAAACAACCCAATCAATAAATGGGTTGAAAAGGACCTGAAAAGACACTTCTCAGAAGATGATGTACAATCAATCAACAAATATATGAAAAAATGTTCATTATCCTATCAATTAGAGAAATGCAAATCAAAACCACTCTAAGATTTCATCTCAGTCCAGTCAGAATGGCAGCTATTAGGCATACAAACAACAATAAGTGTTAGCAGGAAAAAGGTACACTCATACAGTGCTGGTGGGGGCTGAAAATTGGTGCAGCCAATTTGGAAAGCAGTTATGGAGATTTCTTGGAAAATTAGGAATGGAACCACCATTTGATCCAGCTATCCCTCTCCTCCATCTATACCCAAAGGCCTTAAAAACAGCATACTACAGGGACACAGCCACATCAATGTTTCTAGCAGCACAATTCACAATAGCTAAACTGTGGGACCAACCTTCAATAAATGGATAAAAAAAATGTGGCATATATACACAATGGAATATTACTCAGCAATAAAAGAGAATAAAATCATGGCATTTGTAGGTAAATGGATGTAGTTAGAAAAGATAATGCTAAATGAAGTTAGCCAATCCCAAAAAAACAAATGCCAAACTTCTACTATTCTACTGAGTAGTTTTTGTATATCACTGTTTGGTCTTGTTTGCTTTTGTTTTTTTCTCAATTTTTTGTTGGTGCATTAGTATACGTAATTATAATGTTTACTGTTAAATGGGCTTAGATTCTTAAATTCATAGTTCTTCATTATTTCCTTTCAGACAATTGAGAATTTTGAACCAGCGACTCAGAGAACAAGAAAACACTCAAAAGACATCTGGCCCCGTGGAATGCAACCATGAATGTAGGTAAAAGAACTTTAAAACTATTAAAATCTTAGTGGCTCTGGAAATGCTGATTTAAAAAAAATAAATTAGTTTGTCCAGTGGATTTTCTTTGTTTTCAATCAACTTAAAAATAGGTATGGTGCTCCATATTAAAATAAAAAATAGTGCAGGAAAATAAAAGATTAGTGTGCTGTCTACATCCCAATAATACACCTCTACTAAAGGTGTATATTGTGCCAAGCCCAATAAAATTATATATGTACTTTCAAATTTTTAAAAATTGAGTGTGTGCTTTATGTAGTCTTTCAAAGCTAACATTTAATCATTTTATACATAGTGAACATTTTTCCTATAAAATACATAAATTTTCTTTTTTTTTTTTCTTTATTAACTTATTTTCTGCTTATGTGGCTCTACCATAATATATTGAAGGTCTTCTGGAAGACATCTGAATACTTCACCCCTTTTCCTCAAAGCAAAAACAATGCAGTGAAAATTCTTCTTTTTTTTAATATTTATTTTTTTAGTTGTAGTTGGACACAATGCCTTTATTTTATTTATTTATTTGTTTTTTTGTGGTGCTGAGGATTGAACCCAGGGCCTTGCACATGCTAGACGAGCGCTCTACTGCTGAGCCACAACCCCAGCCCCTGAAAGATTCTTATCTTTATACAAATGTGTGAGCATTTTGCAAGATAGATTTATAATAATAGAACTGATGAGCCAAATAGTATACACAATCACAATTTTAACAAATATCACTAAATTATCCTTAGGTTGTTTTGAGACAGAGTCTAATTATATTGTTTAGGCTGGTTTCTTAAAGTCCCAAGCTCAAGAGATCGCCCTCCTTAGCCTCCTCAGTATCTGGGACTACAGGCACAAGCCACCAAATTGTCCTTATGGGTCACAAGTTAATAGAGAAATAAAAACTAATAATAGTATTAGAAGGGAAAAAATGAGACTTATTATTATTATTGCCTGCTGTGGTTATATGCTACATTGTTTGTGCTACAAAACCTGTGCTACATTTTGTGCTACATTTCCTTTCTTGCAGTAGTCAATGAAAAATATTTGTGATTGATGAAGAACTATGCAGTTTAGATTATTTTCATAGGGTATAAATGAAAAGTTGTAGAATCTCTTGCCTAAATATCGAGTTTTTTTAAAATAAATGACAGCAGAATGCATTACAATTCTTATTATACATATATAGCACAATTTTTCATATCTCTGATTGTATATAAAGTATGTTGATACCAATTCGTGTCTTCAAACATGCACTTTGGATAATGATGTTTATCACATACAACCATCCTTGCAAGTCCCCTTTTCCTCCCTTTCCCTCCCACCTCTCTGCCCTATGGTTTTTTGTTTGTTTTTGGTTTTTTTTTGTTTTCCTGATGAATATAATTGAGGATGAAAAAGCAATGAATGTTTGGAACTGAAAATTTTTATGACAACAGTGCCTATTAGAATAGGTTTTGTGTGTGCATGTATGTGTGGGTGTGTGGTCTGGGAATTGAACCCATGGCCTTGTACATGCAAGGCAAGCACTCTACCAACTGTGCTATGTCACCATCCCCTATTATAATAGTTATTACCAGCCCTCATTTTAGATAGAACCTTATCATTTCTATTTTTTTTCCTTTCCTATCCCTCCTCCCTCCCCAAGGGTCCTTTTCCTCTACTATCTTCCTTAGATTTTTTTTTATTTGTTCTTTTTAGATACACATGACAGAAGAGTGTATTTTGACATATTATACCTATGTGGAGTATAACTTATTCTAATTAGGATCCCATTCTTGTGGTTGTACCTAATGTGAAGTTTCAGTGATAATGTATTCATATGTGAACATAGGAAAGTAAAGTTCAGTTCATTCTATGTTTTTCTTTTTACCATCCTCCTTCCTTCCCTTCATTCCCCTTTGTCTAATCCAGTGAACTTCTATTCTCACTGCCCCTCTTGATGTGTTTCAGTGTCCACATATCAGGACATTTGGCCTTTGGATTTTTTGGGATTGGATTATTTCACTTAGATTGATAGTCTCCAGTTCCATCCATTTACCGCAAAAGTCATTCTTTTATGGCTGAGTAATATTCCATTGTGTATATAGACCACATTTTCTTTATCTCTTCATCTTTTGTAGGGTACCTAGGTTGGTTCCATAGCTTAGCTATTGTGAACTGAGCTGCTATTAACATTATTGTGGCTGCATCACTGTAGTATGCTGATTTTAAGTCTTTTGGATATAATGCTGAGGAGTGGGATAACTGGGTCAAATGGTGGTTCCATTCCAAGTTTTTGAGGAGTCTCCATACCGCTTTTCCATAGTGGTTGCACCAAATTGCAGTTCCATTAGCAATGTATGACTATACCTTCTCCCCACATCCTTGCCAACATTTACTGTTACTTGTATTCTTTATAATTTTTATTCTGACTGGTGTGAGATGAAATCTCAGTGTAGTTTTAATTTGCATTTCTCTAATTGCTAGAAATATTGAACACTTTTTTATTTATTTGTTAATCATTTGTATTCTGTGAAGTGCCTGTTGAGTTCCTTTGCCAATTTATTAATTAGGTTCTTGTTGTTGTTGTTGTTATACTTTTTGATTTCTTTATATATATCCTGAGGATTAATTCAGGTAGGCTCTCCATGGTCTTGATTGTTTCCTTTGCTATGAATTTATTAATTGAGAACTTTCAAAATAATGTTCTCAGGACAAAGTCTGATGTAAATGCAGATGTCACAGAGGAACAGATAAAATTTTCTCCGAAAATTCTTTTTCGATTTCTGAACAGCAGAGTACATTCAAAAAGCATCAAGAAAATGGGGAATTTGTTTTTTGCAATATATGACATGAGCTTAATTTTCTTAATATATTAATATCTCTTACAAAGCAATAAGAAAAATATGTGCATTCAGCAGAACAAGTATATCATGAAAGTATTTGTCTTCATGAGAGTAACTTCAGATAGATCATTCTGGTTCTACTGTGAACAAAATGTGGGGGATAAAGGAAGGTGAAAGAGGGAAGGTCATGAATGGAACTGGGGAGATCAGTGGTTGTCATTCTAAGTAGTAGCTTCTGTCTTTTTATTCTCTTATTCATTTACTTTATTGGGTTGTTTTTGTTTCTCTTTTCTTTTGAGTTATATTTACTTGTTTAGTACTAGCTTCATGAGATCAGGGACCACGTCCATGTTTTTTACTGTTGTGTACCCGGATTCTAATATAGTATCTCATACATGGTAAACATTGACTGAAGCTTGTGTTTGCTAAATGAAACGGTACCATGTACTTCTGTAGTTTTTAAGAAAAAGAATATGATAAGTCTATGTGCTGATACCTAACAGTCTTATGGGGGAAGAAAGGCAGTGTTAGAAACTGGGTATAGTATAATTCTTTTATATTTAAATATATGTGTAATTTTATATAAGATTATATACTATTTGCAAAAGGTTTTTAAGAAAGATAGCCAAAATTAATAATGATGCCTCTGGGAGAAGAGTCAGGTAGGGAAAAAGAGAGATACTTCTTTGAGAATCATTAGGTATTATCTATTGGTATCTTGTGGCATTTCAATTTTTTTATTTTGTGCATGTATTTTTCTTTAATTTAAAAAGGTAAAAATAATTTAATGCACATAATTTCAATTGAAGAAGAAAGACATGATTTTTATCAATCAATTTTTAAAAATACATTTGGTATTTATATAGAACTGCTTATACATATCATTATTAAGCAAAATCAGTAAATTCCAGGCCTTTCTCTAAAAACAAATCTTTTCCACGTTTGTATTTTTAAAATTGAGAAAAAACTGTTTAATCTGTTTTGTCTTGCAGTGTATTCCCTTCAGTCATTGAACACGTCACTGCAAAATCAATTGCAGGAGTCACTGAAAAGTCAGGAATTACTACAGAGTAAAAATGAAGAGCTCTTAAAAGTGATTGAAAATCAGAAAGATGAAAACAAAAAATTTGCTAGTATATTTAAAGACAAAGAGCAAACACTTCTTGAAAATAAACAGCAATTTGACATTGAGATAACAAGAATAAAAATTGGTATGTATTTAGGCTATTGTTATAGTCAGATTTTTTAGAAAGAAATGAGAAACTGAAACTTTTGTTGTTTTAGAATTGGAGGAAGCCTTGGTCAATGTGAAAAATTCCCGGTTTAAGTTAGAAACTACTGAAAAGGAAAATCAGATATTGGGAATAACACTGCGTCAGCGTGATGCTGAAGTGACTCGGCTGAGAGAATTAACCAGGTAAAATTGCCTTTCTTTAATTAACCTAGGCCTCTTATTTGATGTATTATAAACTTCAAAATAATGTCAAACCTGCCCTGTTTTCCTTATCATTTTCTCTTATTTTTTCAATTTTTTTTTGCTAATTTCTAATTTTTTCTTCCTGTTCCAATTATGGTAGTTTAGAAATTCCAAACCTGGGCAAATGCTGTTTTAGACTCTGTAAGTCTAGGTAATGAGCTCTGATGAGAGGCTAACAATCTGTATAGCAAAGTGGTAAGCTCCCTGGCTGTGAAGCCAAAGACCTGAATGAAATCTCAGTTCTGCCACATATTAGTTGATGACTTTGAGCTCATTGTTTAAACTTTCTCACCCTCTCTTATAAAGTAGGGACATAGATAGGGTTGGGAGAAACTCAGCAACAATTCATGAAAAGCAGTTAGCATGGTAAGCCCTTATGCCATATGATCTTGGGTAACTCATTTATACTCTTTGAGCTTCATTTTCTTCATTTTGACAATAAAATGAGGACTTTGTCAGTGGCTCCTAAGATCCTTCATTTCCTAGCAGATAAATAAAATTACTAAATTTTCATAAAGTTTTCTTTTGAGACATTTGCTAACATTAGATTTTTAACTGTTTAAAGTCCCAGAAGAGAGGTTATTTTAGGCCAGAAAATCATCAGGTATGACCATGTCTTTGAATGATCCTAGAAATTTATATTTCCAAATATAAGATAATTTTGAATATAAAACAGTATGTATTGTATTCCCAATTAACAGATCCACTTTGAATTATAAACTTTTAGAAAAATAGATTAAATAGTAATGTATGCATATACGTATGTATGTGCATACACATGTATAGTCTTAATATTTGAATTTTTAAACTTCTAAAATTTATAATCTGTTAATACAGAAATACTGCTTTTTTCCTACATTTATTTCATAGGATAATTTCATTAAAGCTTTTTTTTAAAAAAATATTTTTTAGTTGTCAATGGACGTTTATTTTATTTATTTATATGTGGTGCCGAGAATCCAACCCACTGCCTCACACATGGTAGGCACTCTACCACTGAGCCATAACCCCAGCCCCTCATTAAAGCTTATTCATTTATTTATTTGGTTGTGGCTGGACGCAACATCTTTATTTATTTATTTATTTATTTATTTATTTATAATGTATTTTTAGTTGTAGGCAGACACGATACCTTTATTTTATTTAGTTATTTTTACATGGCACTGAGGATCGTACCCAGAGCCTCACATGTGCCAGGCGAGCATTCTACCAGAGCCAACCCCAGCCCTCATTAAAGATTTTAATAGTTGGAAAAACAAAAGACATTTCTTGTGTCTATGTGGAATTATAATTCATTAGGCCCTGGCCAGTTTTCTAAATGCTAGCCTATACAATTTTCCTTCAAAGTAAAGTAAGAAATTAATGAAGTACATTGATATTTTTCAAAGTCTTCTCTTTCCCATATATGTTATTTTGATTTGTCTTCATTTATGGAGGGAACTTTTAATATCTGCATTTTCACAGATGGGAAAACCAAGGGCCTGCAAATTAAAGTATTAATTGAAAGTTAATAAGCTGGGATTTGAACATTTTATTTCTCTTTTATATATGGCTTGGTTTTAGCTAAAATAGTATACATTTTCTGGTAACAACTCTATGCCTAATTTAATCTAAGTAATCCTTAGTATTTTTTACCTGAGAGATAAATGGATAATGGATGGATTTATTTACTTATTCATCAAACATTTTTTACATATTCCAAATATATGTGTGAAACACACTTAAAATATTTAATTATTTCAGTTGTTAAATATTCATGTCATCAAGCAAAAAGCTTTTTCTAGTGATTTAAATAAATATAAAGGGGAGATACATTTTTTTAAGGATAAATTTGACTAAATACTATTCAACATGTGTAGCTCATTTACCTAGAAAATTGATAATAAGCCAGATGAGGTGGTGCATGCCTGTAATCCCGTGACTATGGAGGCTTAGACATGAGGATTAAAAGTTAAAGACCAGTCTTAGCAACTTAGTGAAACCATAGCAACTTTATGAGATTCTGTCTCAAAGAATACAAAGGGCTGTCCATGAGGCTCAGTGATTAAATGTCCCAGGGTTCAATGCCTGGTACCAAAAAGAAAAACAAGACAAACAAACAAACAAAAAAAAAATTGATAATAGAAAAATCAGAACAGTCTTTCAGAGTAATAGTGTAATTATTCTAGAAAGTCATATAAATGGAAGCCCAAAGAAATTAAGGAGCTTACCTGACTTTACCAGATAGTTGGTTCCTAAACTGGGTCCTGAGCCAATTTCAAATTGGAACAAATTCTCTAAGTAAAAATGAGCAATTATGAGGGATTCTTTGATCTTTAGAAGATACACTTGTATTTGCTTATTCTTTCAAAATAACTTGTAGTCTGCTTTTCCCAATGTTCATTAGGAATGGTTTAGGGTTTGTTTGTAATTGGAGCCTTTCTTTTCTTCACATTTATCCTAACATGGAAGTATAGGAACTGAAAAACTAATTAATTCTTAGAAACTATCTGCCTTTGGAGAAGATAATATCTAAACTATTTTTTTCTCATTTTCTTAAGACTAAAGAATTTTCCTGTCATTTTTTCCCCCCAATTTCTGTTAAGCACCTCTTCTTTTTATACTGGGCATAAATCCTACATCATGACTACTAGTTCACCCATTAAGTAAGAGTAACTGCCATCTAAATAATTATAAAATATGGTGGGCAGGCTTAGCATAGTATGTCACATAGGCATTAGTACCACTCCTCCATTCTTCTGAAGATTAATAGTTGTAAAATGCCATGTATACACATTAATGTCAATTTTTGCTTTGTCTTTTAAATTTAAAAACAAAAATAGTCTTTGAGCTTAAGTGTATCTAAATTCATCCACGCTGGGGATATATAGTACGTTTGGGAACACCTATGTTATTTCATCAACTAATAACATTTCTCTGACTGGGCTTCTGTGTCCATTTTGATCTTCAAGGTAAAGTAGCATCATATGACAATACAGGTGAATTTGCATGATTATCTACCCAGTCCCTCTTCCCTGTAGTGATGCACCTTCTCAGCTAGGTGTTGGGTTTTTTGGGTGTGTTTTAAATAACACTTTATCTATCTCTAACTAGAAAAGAGGAGTTTAAAAGTTTTTAAAATGCAAAGTTATGAAAGGAGATGGAAACATTAATCAACCTGATTTGATTAGTATATTTTATGCATATTATAATATCATACTGTATAATATAAATATTATTACATAATAGTTAAAATTTAAAAAAAATTAATTTAAAAAAATTTTCAAGACATTAATTACCTTGATTTGATCATATATATTGTATACATGTATCAAGTGATCACATTATGACCTATAAATTTGTACAATTAAAATAATTGAAAAAGATTTTATCAATTTTTCTGAATCTTTTTCGCAGATATTTGGAGGGGACTTATGAGATTGAAAGGTGCACATACAATGTCTAAACAAATATCTTAAACCATCTCTCTTTGCCACTTTCAGTGATTTTGAAATACAACTTTATCACTTTTTTTTCAGTTTTTACTATAGCACATGTTATAAAACTGTTAAAATTTGAGAAAAATTAATGTTTTCAGTAAGTAGAACATATTTTAATAGCTTCAAAGAACAGTTTTAGAAGTGCTGATAATTAATTTAAAAAATTACATTTCTTGATATGAAGAAGATGTGCCAGTTTTCTGAGCATTAAAAATCAATATGCTTAGCCACGCATGGTGGTGCTGTTATCCCAGCTACTTAGGAGGCTGAGACAGGAGGATTGCAACAGATTAAGGCTAATCTGGGACCCTGTCTCAAAATAAAATTTAACAAGAGCTAAGGAAGTATTTGTTCAGTGGCAGAGTGCTTGTCTAGCATGCATAAAAGGCCATGGGTTCAGTCCCCAGTACTATAAAAATGAGCTGCTTATAAAAGCTGCCTTTAAAAGTTTTACATATTCTCGTATGTTTATGGAGATTTTCCCTTTAATTTCTGAGGCAAAGGGATGGGGTTGTGGCTCAGTGGTAAGAGCACTTGCCTAGCATGCATGGGGTACTGGGTTCGATCCTCAGCATCATATAAATAAATAAAATTAATAAAATGAAGGTATTATGTCCATCTACAACTAAAAATTAAAAATAGTTTTAATTTCAGAAGCAATGGAGGAGTCTTATTTTTTTAATGCATCAGAAGTTTAGTGACTGCTATTAATTTCCAGAGATAAACTTTTATTGATGTTATTATGTCATCCTTTCTTTCTCTTTATCCCTGATTTTGTCCACAGCAAAGGTGACACTTTTGTTAAGTTCTGGAAAGAAATGTCAATTGAAATATTTCTTTGCTTAAGCTAGACCCAGAAAGTAAAAGGCTGAGTATTTTCTCTAATATACAGAAACTAGTTCAAAATAAGGGGTTAGGGTCGTAGGGATCCTATCAAATTACAAAGGTCAGTGGAATAGAGAAAGGGGATTGAGGGGGAGGGAGGAAGGATGGGATAAGGAAAGAACAGTGGAACGAATCTGACCTAACTTTCCTAAATACATATAAATATACCACAGTGAATCTTACCTTTACATATATCCACAAGGCACTAATTATAGCTCATTAATTTCTCTTTAATTAATATTTCAATTGACAAGTCATAATTGTATGTATTTATTTCATACAGTGTGATGTCTCACTATATGTGGAATAGTTAGTTCAAATCTGGTTATCTATCTTGTGATAGAATTCAAAGACTTATTCCTCCTGTCAAAACTGGAACTTTCCCATCTCCTTACTTCTCTACCCCCCCAAACTCTCCCACTCCACCAGCCTCTGGTAACCACCATTCTATTCTTTATCATGATTTCAACCATTTTTTTAAATGTAGTTCATTTTGTTTTACCATGCTGGAATTTGAATTTAGGGTCTTACAAGTGACGGTCAGTTTTTTCTACTACTGAGTTATATCCCCAGTCC